CACGGAGCGGGGCCGCACATCCCGCACGGAGCGGGGCCGCACATCCCGCACGGAGCGGGGCCGCACATCCCGCACCCGGCTCCGGCTGCTACGCCCGCAGTGCCCGGAGCACCCCGGGCCCCGGTCCCCGGTCCGCCTCGGTACTGAACGGGGCTGCGCACCCGGAGCCTCCTGGACACAGCGGTGGAGGCTAAATCCCGAGCGGAGTGGCTGGAATTGGGAGGGTTAATCGTCAGGCAGGGACAGTGCCCTTTCACGCTGCTTTATCCCACCGAATTTGTTTAATTGATGAATCACATAACTTCGAGATGGAAAAGACCCATTATGTCATCAGCTGGCCTCCCCTGCCAGCACAGGATTGTTCCCCACAGTATATGATCCCTTACATTATATAAAAGCCTGCTGCTCACTTTGTCAGAGAGGGAGAGGTGATCAAATACAACCCATCCCTGTGTAATATGAAGCACTCCAGAGCTAAGTAACACCAAGTCCGTGTTTAACAGACCTAGTCTCATTAGCTTTCCACTGCATAATACATTATCTTCACTTAAGATCACCACCTTGGCAGTCCAAAAATGCTTAACCACCTGACCTCCCTGGTGATTTCTGTCTCTTCTTCCCTTCCTCTTACTTATGTCCATGTTCTGTTGTTCGGAGTGAGGTTTTTTGATGATGTTGTGGTTTAGTTTTAATTTTTTTATTAGAGTAAAAACCATCCTGAAATCATCTACCCCTGGCAGTGCTGCAATCACAGCTAGTTAGCATGCTGCATTCACCAGCCCTGTGGAAACACAACTGCAAAGAAACAAACAGATTTCCTGTCTAGCCTGGTAAAAGGGTGGGTTTTGCTGTTTGGTTTGGGTTTTTTTTTCAGTATCATGTATGCTGAAAATTTTGTGAGAAACTTCTGGTGAAGTTCTGAGCAAAAGAAAAATCTCTTTCTTCTACACCCCAGGGACACAATCAAAACACAAAATAAAAAGAGAGGGTTTTCTTCCAGTGAAAAATAAAGCACAGCTTTCTGTCTGAAGTTCAGCAGCTCAGCACCAGCACACAGCCCTGGACCCTGTAAAAACTAAAGCCCTCCCAAAAAAAGAGAGGCTGTCCCATCACCTAAACTAACAAGGCTGTTTTTCAACCCCTCAAGAGACAATCTTTCACTCAATATCCTCTTATGGCAGTGAATTCCATGTCTGGGTAACACAGCTGGCTGCAGAGCATTCTGTATTCTGCTCTGCATTCGGCACGCTCGGAGCTGCTGTGCAGACGGAGCTCTGTGACTGAGAGTTCCCCCTGCCTCTGGTGCAGAGCTGTGTCCCCCTGTCCCAGCCCAAAGGATGCTCAGGAGTGGGCTGAAAATGCAGGTCTGACAAGCAGAGGCTCGAGTTCGTGGTGCTGCTCTGTCCTTGGCTTCCTGCAGGATTGCAAGCAAGCCTATACATTCTGCTTTTGCATCTGGAAAACAGGACTTAAAAGTGCTTCCTTTGCCTGTCACAGCTCCTTAGGCTGCTGGTTTTTGAGAGCTGCCTTAGCACAGCAGAACCCAAATCCTCACTGGGAGCTGTGTGCACACCAGGCACAGAAATTAGAGGAGTGATAGCAACCTTCGTTTTTCCATTACAGCAATAGGACAAACTGAGATACTGCTCTCCCACCCTCCTCATTTTGGATAGCTTTGAACTGTGGGATTTCTCTTTGCAATCCAACTACCATTACTGACAAGCAGTCATGCTGGAAGGGAGGGATCTTTCTAAGTGGCCTATTAGCCATAGGGTCAATAAAATCTTGTTAAAGCACACAGACTAATGAACAGTGTAACTAGGGCTTGCAAGAAGGTCGTATGTTACACATTATAGTGCTAAGTAGCTTTGATTAAATCTTGAGGAATGGAAGGAGAATCCAGCTTGCTGCCAAATCCAAAGCCAGGCTGCTGCTATTTCCTACCTTCTGTATTACAGAAAATGGTCAGCAGCAGTTGAACTGGTAATCCCCCAAAGAGCCACACTGAGAAGTTCTCTTCAGGAACAAAATTTTTTCATAGGTAAACTAAAAATTGCAAAAAACTTTGCAGAATTTTTGTGGTGGGAAGTCTGGTGGTATTGTTGTGATAAGAAAGAACAGCATTTTTTGCTTGTTTTGTTTTTTGATTTAGAAAGAAAGAATCAAGCCGTTTATTAAAAGTCCTTGTGTGTTGTGAGGATTACAAAAATAAATTGTACTGAATGAATGTGAATCTGAAACAGGATTAAAAAAATAAGCATTGGCTTTACATAGTGAACCAGGCTTTAAACACTGTCACCAGGGAACATAGAAAATCCTGATTTAAATCAATGGATGCAGAAGCACAGGGGATTTCTGAGCATGATGTCATTCCTGTGAGTGTCTTGAGTGACGCCCAAAATTTCCTCACCTGAAAGAGACATTTTGTGTGACAAAAATCATTGTGAAATCCAATGGCAAAGGGTGTCCTGGTTGTTTGAACACTATAGATCCTCATGGGCACTGTAATCCAAATCCATCTAAGCCTGGAAACCAACCTGGAAACATTATAGCCCCATTTTGAGCTGCCTAAAGCCTGCAGCTGTCACCACACACCTCATTTAATGGCCTTGGGAGGCAGAGGATAAAGTGAGGTGTTCTGGCCCAAATTTGCCATTCAGAGACTCTGTCAAATTGTTCTGGTTCATGACATGGAAAGAGTCAAGAGACAGAACCAAAGGCGAGCTTGTGGTGTTGACAGTTGGGATTTCTTCCTTGAGGGGAACAAAGAATCCTTTAAAAGTTTTTAATCTTTTAACACTGATTTATGTGCCTTGCTAATATGCTTCAGTATTATTAGGCA